GGACGTTGTTTAATGTCTTTTGCTATTTCAACACCTTTTTCCAATAAATAGATTTTCATGACTTCTAAATTGTCAACAGCGAATGCAAAATGTAGTGCTCTACTACCTGCGAAGGTAATTTTTAGTGTTCTATTTTCAATAAGATGAATTTGTTGACCAAGACCAATATCAAACCATGCGCCTGCAAAGTCAAATGCTGGTCTTGGTAACATTTCAAACTGTAGTATTTCTTTATAAAACTGTATACTTCTGTCAAGATCTTTGACCTCAATAGCGAAATGATTGAAGGACTTAATGAGTCGGTTAGTTTCCATCCCACATTAAAAACGCTTTCAAGAATCCATCGATGTTTCCATCTAAAACAGCATCTGTATTTCTACTTTCAAAACCTGTTCTATGGTCTTTTACCCGACGATCATCTAGCACGTAGGAACGTATCTGTGATCCCCATTCATTCTTCATCTTGCCCGCTTCGATTTTATTCCGTTCTACCATCTGTTTTTCAAGCTCGATCTCATAAAGCCTAGATTTAAGCATTTTGAGCGCTTTCTCTCTGTTCATATGTTGCGATCTTGCTTCTTGGCACTGAATGGCGATTCCTGTTGGTATGTGTTTGATCCTGACTGCAGTTTCTACCTTATTGACATTCTGACCTCCTGCGCCTTGTGCTCTGAAGGTATCCCATTCGATGTCTGCTGGACTTATCTCGATCTCAATAGTGTCATCTATCATAGGATGGACGAATACCGATGCAAATGATGTCATACGTTTGCCTTGGCTATTGAATGGACTCACGCGCACTAGACGGTGGACGCCATTTTCGCCCTTTAACATACCATATGCATACTCACCTTCGATTTCTATAGATATGGACTTTATACCAGCAACATCACCATCTACCCTATCAAGTTCTGTCACTTTGAAGCCATTTTTATCGGCCCACATTACAAACATACGATGCAACATCGATGTCCAATCACAAGCCTCCGTTCCGCCTGCACCTGCATTGATCTCAAAGGTGCAATTGAGTTGATCTTCGGGTTGGTCTAAGGTAGTTCTGAATTCGATGTCATCGAGATGAGCTAACATTTCTTGATACCTTTCATCTACTTCTGCTTCGGTGGCTTCCCCTTCACGTTGGAACTCAAGCAATACTTCTAGATCATCCGTAAGAGATTGTAAAGTTGAATACTTTTCTACCCACTTTTTGTTGTCTTTTAGTTCTTTTAGAATAGTCTCAGCTTTTTCAGAATCCTGCCAAAAAGTAGGATCTAATGATAGTTGTTCTTTTTCTTCTATTTCAATAGTGCGGCGATCGACGTCAAAGATACCTCCTTACCGATGTCAATCGCACCCTGATATCAGCTAACTGTTCATTGGTCATTGCCCTGCATGTTTAATATTAAAAAAAAACATCCGCCACCTTAGATTTTTGCAAAAGTGGCGGATGTATATAATGTTCAAAAATAAAATTAATTATTTATTTTCTCCAACTCTACATAAAATACCAAGTCTGA